AGTCCAATTTTTTTAAGGAACCCAATGCAACAGTGGGGAGTTCCTGTCCTAAGGGAATGTGATCCCAAATACCTGGGAGGCAGCTCCATGACCAGTGGCAGTGTATAAACAATGATCCAGCCCTGGCCAGCAGCACTTTTATCCCAAAAACAGCAGGGTGCCAACATTGGGTTTTGGCACCAGCACCCCCAGTTTTGGTGGGAAAAGGAGAGCGCTTCCAGGATCCGGGCTGTGCCGCTCCCTGGGCCTCCCAAAATTTGGGAACAAGCTGCTCCAGGTAGGTAAACACAGCCCAAGGTAATAAAAGCAGCAGCCCAGAGTCCAAGGTCACTCCCTGCTCCCCCAGCTCTTGGAAGAGATGTCCAAATATAGCCTTGTCCCTGCGGCCTCCTCTGAAAATAGGGGATGGAAGCGGGAGCCAGGGATGCTTCCAGCACAAACTGTCTCTGGGAGGGAAGGATTTGGGAAAAACACACATGGAATGGGACTTGGGGGCCACTTAACCAGGGGTTAGAGGGGAGATCCAGGTTGGGGAGAGCATGAAAAGATCCAGGATAACCCCCAGATTCCATGAGAGATGTGAAGGAGGTGGGAGACCACGAGAACTATTAATGAGTAGCAAGAGGCTGGAAAATCCAGCTTTCCCAAAAAATTCCATCACAATCTGCCTCTCCAGGCACTCACAGTGCCACTGGCAAACAGGCAAGGAACTAAAATTTCCTACGCATCCAAGAAAAGTCAGCAAAATGCACCTGGAGAACAGGTGTCCCCAAGATCCCAGAGCCAAGGACTTGGATATCATCATTCCTCAGGACACACATCTTTCCTCTTGGACTACTTTATTTGGTAAAACTCCAAAATCAGCAACAGCTTGAACTTCCTAGAACTTCCCACCCTGAGCAAGGCATGGATCCTATGGAGACAGAGTTATCCCGCTCAGCTCCAGCCTCAGCTGCTCCTCCAGCTTTGATTCCCCTTCCAAAAAAAAAAAAACAAACCAGGATCAAAAGCGAAACCAAAAGCCAAAAAACGTAATAAAATATCTAAGGACACCAGGGAAAAGGGAATCGAGGTGAGGGCATCAGATCCCAGTGGATCACCCAAGGAAAGGGACAGTTCTGGGCACAGCCAAATCTGCAGAATCCATGAATCCCAGCAGGAGATGACTGACACCCCTCCAAATTCTTAACAAGCTGCTCCCCCTGTGAGATTCCGTCCCCCTCCGGCCGCTGCTGCCGGTGTTGGGCACGGCCGGGGAAGGATTTCCCTTTGCTCCATGTGGAGAGGAGGAGTGGGGAACGATCCTGAATCCTGCTAATGGATCCGGGTCAGCTCCTCTACGATCTTTATGAGGTCGTCCACGGTGGCTTCCCTCTTCATCCCGCTTCCATCGTCAATCTGCACAGGGAGGAACAGGCATTGGAGACATCAGCAGGTGCTAAAAAACATTCCCAGTAAATTCAGGAGGGTGTGGATTTAGGATTTTCCAGAGAGGCTATGGCTTCCTCATCTCTAGAAGTGGTCCAGGCCAGATTGGACAAGGCTTGGAGCAACCTGGAGGTGGTGTCTTGAAGTCCCTTCCAACCCAAACCATTCCATAACTCTACAATTCCATGATTTACTGAGCCTGGATTTCTGAGCAAGGTTCTTGAAGGATCCAAGGCCATGTTCCCAAGCTCACCTGCAGATTTGCCACCACTTCCTGCATCTTGGGCCTGCTGATGTCCAGGAAACTCTCGATCAGGTCTCCATCAATGAATCCTGTGGCCGGTTCTGTCTTCCGTTCGGTGTGGAATGATCTCCAGGTGCCGCTGTCAAGGAGCCAAATCCACAGGAAATGACACCAGCCCTGATGTGATTAATGGTGGGATGGCAGTGCTGGGTTAATGGCTGGACTCTGTGGTCTCAGAGGGCGTTCCCAACTTTAATTCCATGATTTCTGAGGGCACCAGCAAACCCGCTCCTACCCACTCCAGCTGGTAAACCCCACCCAGCACAGGCTCCTGGCTGGAATGTCAAAGGATATAAGGAATGCTCAATCTTCCCCACACTCTTGATGACTTTGTTGAGCCTGTTCTGCATGTCCAGGAGCAGGTTGTACCAGCTTTCCGACAGGGATGTCACCAGGCCTGCATGGGAATAACGGACATGGGAATATGGCAGGGGGTGGAGCTGGATGAGCTTTCCAACCCAAACCATTCCAGAATTCTGCAGGGAATCCTCAGCCCCCGCTCCTTACCGATCATGCCATTGACAGTGCCGAAGAGCACGGATCCCTGGGTGGGTGTGGAAGTCTCTCCCAAGTTCTGCATGACCAGGGATCCGTGGCAGAAGACATTGACGAACTCTCCGAGGTGGGATAATCCCACTTCCTGCAGGTGTTGCCTCTCCTCATCTGTCGTGGCCGCGCTGGAATCCCAAACACTGCTCAGTCCCCGATGGGGGCACTCCAAAACTCTCCCTTGCTCCCAAAAACTGGGAACGCTCCTCCAGTTTTCCTGAAGATCCCATCACCCCATCCCATCCCTGTTCCCACTCCATCTGGCTCACCTGTCCTTCTGGCACACAAACAGATTGAAAGCGTTCTCCGCTCCCAAGAAATTATCATCATCCAGGATCTCCACGGCACTCATCCAGTTTGGATTGAAATCCCGGGCAATCTGGAAGGAGCCAAGAAGGGACACGCTGTGTCCAGGTGGCCTGGCCTGGGTTCCTGCATCCTTATCCCACCCAACACCAATATTCAGGAGCGAGGCAGGATCCAGCATGTCCCCCTCTGCTCCAGGACGCAGCTGAGTAGGAAAGGCACTCCTGGAGATGGTCCTAGTCCAAGTAGCACTTGGATAACATCCCGGGAAAGCGTGGAACAGCCTATGCCAAAGCCACTCCAGCAATTTAAACCCCCATTCCAAGTGGACACCAGGCATCCCAGATGGCACCTCCCGCCCACCAGGCACCAGCTGCTCTTCCCACAGCCAGTTCCCTGGAAACTGAGGGACTCCATCCCCGCAGAAACCACAGGGATCCGTGTGAAACCTTATCCAGGCAAGCCAAACTCCTCCTTTTATCCCCTCCGACGCCATTCCCTGTGCCCAGAGCTGTTGGAACAGATTCCCGGCATCACTTCCATACCTCCTCGAAATTCCCTTCCATGGGTTTGTAGGCCAGGAGCAGCACAGAGCGCATGAGGTCTCCCACCAGGATGAAATCCCCCTTGGTTTTCAGGTACAGGGCCATGATGTTGTTGTAGTGGTTGCATTCCGTGCGCAATTCCTTCTCCGCTGTCCACTCGTACAGGCGT